GACCCACGCCGCCCGTGGGGGCGGGGGTGGCGGCCCCCACCTTGAGGATCTGCTGCGCGGAGGCCCTCTTTGTGGCGTCCATCTCCAGCAGCCGCCGCACGCAGTCCTTGGCCGCGTCGCTGATCCTGGGCCAGGGCTCGGACTTGAAGTCCAGCGCGCCCTTCAGGACCTGGGGGGGGGGGGTTGGGTTGGGTTTGGGCGGTGGGTGGGGGGGTGGCGGGGGGTGGGGACGCACTGAGCGGGCGGATGGGCCGTGGAAGGGAGGTGGGCCAAAGGAAGCAGACACACGCGTGCAGGGGTGGGGTCCATTCAGGCGCTAGAGGAGGGCGTTCACCAACGCGCGAGTTCAGGGGTGAGACAGGAGCGCTTTGCAATCCCCGGGAAGGGGGCCATCGGGCGGCGTGGCGGTGCCCTCTTGGTCGTACCCTGCTAGCCGACCTGTCCCATGCCGCTCCACCACCATCCAGAACACCCCCACACACCACCACATCACCGCAGCAACATTATCAGAATCCCGGACCCGCCCAACCCTCAAAGGTTCAATCGGTCAACGCGCCCCTCTGCCCCTCCCAACCCCAGGCCCAGCCCCACGGCCCCCACCATCTTGAAGATCTGGTCCTCCGTATCCCCCCAGAACGGCGGCAGCCCGCTCAGCAGGATGTACAGGATCACGCCCAGGGACCACATGTCGGCCTGATGGCTGTAGTTCTGCGGGACACGGGCGGTCGCAGGGGAGGGAGGCAAGGGAGTGATGTTGGAAAAATCCTGGTGGTGCGTTACACACCACCGCGTGTTTGTGCGAGTGTGTGTGTGTGTGTGTGTGTGTGAGTGCGCAGGTGTTGTGCTCAGTCACGCTACGATGTCAGGAACTCGAGGCAATATGCGATATGGGGAGTAGCGGCACTGCCCAAACCCGAGAGCCCATGTTGCGTGTGTTGGCGCGGAAGGGGAGCGGGGGGTACCCCCAGGTGCCGCCGCGCCGCACCTTGCGCAGCACCTCTGGCGCGACGTAGTAGGGGGACCCGACCAGGTCCTTGAAGCGCTCCCCCGGCTTGAAGAACACGCCTGTGTGTTTGGGAGTCGATCAGACGTGTGTGGCCGCGTGAGGTTGTGGAGATTGCGTACACGCGTGTGCGTACTTCAAAGCTTGAGGCGCCAGATGAAGCCAGCCCCAAAGAATCCTTCCCCCACAGCAGCAGCAACGCCACGGAGAGGGTGGGGTGGGGGGCAATGGCGTGCCCCTGCGAGGCGCCTCACCGAGCCCAAAGTCTGTCAGCTTGAGCTCCCCGTCGGGCCCCTTGGCGGTGAGCAGGAAGTTCTCGGGCTTGAGGTCGCGGTGCATCACGCCCAGCTGGGGGGGGTGTGGAGAGGGAGAGCGCACGCATGCGGGTTGTTGGGTGTGAATGTGTGCATGCGTGCGTTCACGTGTAGGTACGTGTGTGTGTGTGTGTATGGAGAGTGTGCGTGGGTGTGTGAGGGTCTGCATATGTCAGTGGGGGGAAAGGGGGAAAAGGCAGAATGTGGATGCCTTGTGAGGGGTGGAGAGGCGGGTCTGCAAGGAAGGCTTGCGACAGGTCGTCGGCGGGCGAGGCCAGGGCTGCGCGGCCCGCCCAGCTCACGGCGCCAGGGCTCGAGAATGCGCTGGCTACCAGCAGCCGCAAGTCCAACCCTGAGAGTCCTCAGCGCACCTCGTGGCAGTGGTTCACCACCTCCACCATCCGCCGGAACACCTCGGCGGCCTTCTTCTCGCTGCAGCCGGAAGGGTGGGACGGGGGGTGGGGGTTGAAAAGGGGTGCGTTTGCGGCGCACAAGCGCACACCGCCGTACAAGGTGGCGACCCGTACAGAGCCCCTGCCAACAGCGCACGCGCGCTGTTGGCAGGGAGCAAGGTCAAGCCAGCCACGAGCTCTTGTTCCTGGTGCCCGCCACTCATGGCAGCGCACGCGGTGCCAGCCCAACCCCAGGCCCCTGGAGCTGACCTGAAGTTGCCGGCCTCAACGATGCTGTCGAAAAGCTCTCCCCCCTCGCACAGCTCCATCACAATGTGCACGTAGTCCTTGTCCTCGTGGGTGGACTGGGCAGGGGGGGAGGGCGTGGGCAGGGCGTAATGGGTCTTGCGGCTCAAAGCGCATGCGTACATGTGCATGTGTGTGTATGTGTGCATGCATGCGTGTGTGGTTGTTGTGTCCAGATGCAGACACAGCGAGACTGACGAATCGTGACAAAGGCGAGGAAGCGTCCCTGCCTGTGGTGCGGGCGCGCGCACCACAAAGCAGGGCGGCTCAGGACGAGCGCGGCAGCTGGGCTGTGCCTCAGTTGACTTCTGCCCGCGGTCCTCAGCACGGCCTTCCCTGCGGCTTGACACCTAGCCCTTCCCTTGACTACCTCTTCCGCTTGTATCCACATGACAACGCAAATCCCAACTTCCAGCACCCACCCTGAGGGTGACCACGTGGGGGTGGCCGCCCACGAGGTTCATTATGGCCACCTCCGCCTGCACATCTTTCACGTCCTCCTTGCACACCAGCTTGGCCTTGCTGATGCTCTTCACAGCAACCGTCTCGCTCGTTGCGCGGCAGCGGCCCTGCGTGCGGGGCGGGGCCGGCATCATGTTGGCTGTGAGACGAGCGATGAGAAAGCGTCTGGTGCCCGCCGCAGCGGCATGCGGCGCCATGGGGCGCCATGCATGGGCATGCATGGCATCCCCAGTGTTGGACAGGGTGATGGTAAGCAGTAGGGTCGGCGCATGCCTGCGCCGCGCGCGCCCCCAAGGTGCGTGCACACACGCCCGTGCCCCTTGGCACGCACGCCGTCGCGCGCGGCCTTACCAGGCGGACGACACCAAAGGCGCCCTTGCCAATCTGCTTGTCGACTGTGTACTCATCGTCAAGCCGTGCGTCCACTGGATGCTTGCCCAGGATGTTTGTGACTGAAAATGTGCTGCCTGCCGGTGCCGGCATCGTGTCACCGCCGCTGCGCCGCTTTGTGCCGCACTGCTCGGGGCCCGGTTGGGCGATCGGGCACCCCCAAAAGTTGAAGCCTCTGTTCTGCAAGCAACCACACGATCCTGCTTTACAGACTACCGTGGACTTGGAAACGAAAGCCCGGGCCCAAACAGGATGCCGATCTAGCCGTGCGCGATCCAAGAGGGGGCCTGCCGACGGAAGCGCTTTAGTTCAGGTAGTGATAACCGCCTTTCGGTCGCGTGTGCCTCTAAGCGCCAGGCCTCGCGCCTTTGAAACGTTGAAAGTGTCGTGGAGCTTTGCGCAACCGAAGAGTCACCAGGATCTGCGTAAGCAATTCATTTGAATATAATATACCCTAGTACGAGCGAGACCAGACCTCGCATGTGCGCTGCAACATGCCGAAGCACGCGCAGCAGCGCTGTCCGCTCTGCTGCCCGTCAGGCGCTTTGGCTGCTCGGCTGCATGAAGCACTTGGAGAGTTTATTGGCTTGCGGGACTGGCATTTTTTTCTGTCGCCCTTAACTCCCAGATGCTCATGCTCCATGTATGCACATGCATGCTGTCATGCGTGCGTTGGGCGGGTGCTGCATGTTTGCTATGCTTGGGACCGGCTTGGGATACACCATCCAGGCGCTTAGGGGTGGCCCTCAAGTCTACCATACACAGGACATAGCTGCGGTGTACAGTATGCTTTGGCAACGGCGTCCTTCGGGGCCTGCTTTTACGCATCTGCGCATTTTGACCAAGGGTTCCGTGCACATTGTTGGCGTGCGCCGCGCCGACGTTCGCTGGCGCGCACACAACTGCATTCGCTGCAGGAGGCACCCCTGTTTTGGATACCTGATCTGATAGTGGCTCCGCTTTTTGGCCATTGCTATGTGCCTTCCATGGCAATACAAGCGGGCGCTGGACCCCCTCTCAAAGCAGCGTCCCTTGATCACGGTGTACATATCGCAGCATATATGGCCGGTCAACCGGGCTGTACTTGACCACCAGTGGCAAACCACCTCTCTGGACAGAGCATCATACGATAGTTGCTGCCCTGCAGAAGGGCAGGCAAGCAGCAAGCATTCCTCATGAATCAACCCTCTGATACGCAATGACCGGGCGCACCGAGGTGATGTCGTCACTGAGTTTGACTGTCCCTGAGTCACCGCTGATTTACTGATTCACCGCCATCAATGCTCCCATGACAAAAGGTGAAAGTTCTTCATTTCTACATCATTGTTAGGCGCGTGGACAGTTGCAAAGCATAGCCCCGTTCCTGAATCCAGGAGACGGGGTTTGCCAGGAACAAATTTCGGGAACCAGTGCTGCTTGTGCTGTCGAGCAGCACTTCCCACAGCATTTGGGGGTCTCCTGAAGTTGGGTTCTAGAGCTGCAGGTAAACAGACTCTCTTGCGCACAGCATTTTGAACCAACCTTGCCTTGCACAACCTGAACTTGCCTTGCACAACCTGAACAATGCCTTGCAAGCCAAGAAGCGGCGTGCAGCCCTGCAAAACTATGCCGAGCTTTGCACAAGAAGGCTCATGCTGCATTCTGACCCCGCCGCCCTGCCGCCCACACCTCAAACCCGGCTTGCCAGTGCCTGTGCGCCTCCCGTCACATGGCAGAGCACGAGCGCATGTGCTCACGAGCCATACGCCTGGCTTGTTTCGCCCCCTGCATGTATGCCTTCGCTACGCACGGGCCACCTGCCGATCCGCCAGCAACGCTCTCAGCTGCCAACCCCCGCCTCACCAGGTGACGCAAGCGTCAGCAAACTAACACCATCATGCAACGAGATTGTTTGAATCCCCCTTCACAACGATTGCCCAGTGAAAAACCATATCCATCGGTCTGACTTCGCTGATAGCGGCCAACCGCAGCACTTGCTGCAGGCTCATGATGCTAGCAAGCGTGGGCTGCCTGGACGGTACTCCCAAAGTGTCGGATTCAGCTCAAATAGTAAGTCCAGCTATGCCGTTCCGCATTCACTGCAGCAGGTGAGCGATATGGCTAGACCAGTGCCGGACGCTCAGCCATCCTCCCTGGTCTCGCTGTGCTGCTTGGGATTTCGGATGCATGTCATCGATTATGCCATACTCACCCCTAAAACTTGCTTGCAGGCGCAGTGAAGTGGCACCACGGCGGTGATACACCATCAACGCGCCATGGTGCACCATGCGCAGCTGCAGCTGCCGGGCCTGACGCTGCTGCACCTGCTGGCAATCGCTGGCGTGTGCTGTTCAGCGCCGGTCTGGGGTGATCATGCGGATGTTCATGGGGGACTGATCCCCCAGGAGGTCGCTGCGGGTGGCGGCGCCGGCCTCGGTGGCCATGGGCGGACTGCGGGCGATGGAAGGCTCCTGCTTTCCTTTCCCACGGCTGGGCACCCTGTCCTCTTCAAACAAGGCATGCGCAAGCCGCCGCAGCAGCAGCAACAGCAGCAACAGCAGCAACAGCAGCAACAGCAGCAACAGCAGCAGCCCGGCAACCCAGCATCCGACGCACCGCTTGCAGCGCCGGCTGCGAGCGCCCAACCTGGCGCACGCGGCGACTTCCGGCCGCGGCCCCGGCGCCCGCCCGGCGAAGAACCAGGCGCCACGACTGCGGCTGAAGAGGAGCATCGGGATGATGGCAAGGGCCCGGCCCAGGAGCAGCCGGCGCAAAAGCAATCCCAGGTGCAATCCCAGGTGCAGAAGCGCGCCAAGCAGCCGCAAGCCGAGACTGAAAGCACCCAGGACGCCCCAGAGGGCCACCCCGCCTCTCCTGACGCAGGCCCCGCCACAGCCGGGTCCGTCGGGGCCAAGAAGGCGGCGGCGGGCAAGGAGGCGGCGGGCGAGGCCGCGGCAGCCGCCAACCAGACGGTGCCGGCGGCCGCCGCGGCCGAGCCCGACGCCGGCGCGCCGGCGGGCGCCGCCGGCGCAACTCCACAGCCGCAGGACCCCCAGGGGGATGGCCCCGCGCCTGCGCCCGCCGCCCTCGAGGCGACGGCGGCGGCGGCGGAGGTCTCGGCCACAAAGGTGGCGGGCACCGCCCCGGATTTGGCCAATCCCAGGGGCCAGATTTCAAAGGACCTGGATGCAGGCAACAGCGAGGCGGGCGCGGATGAAGGCGCTGCCGAGACCGCAGGGCGGGCGGCCGGCAAGGACACCCCACCCACGGGGCCCAGCGGCGGCGGCGGGAACGGTGGGGTGGCGGCGCCGCCGCCGCCACTGCCGGCGACGGCGGCTGTGCAGAGAGCGAAGGGCGCCGCCAATGCTGCCGACACGGGAGCTGTCGCGGCGCCGCACGCGCCACCAACCAAAGGCGGAGCGGGCGAGGGCCCCGGCACGGAAGCGGGGGCGGGTGGTTCGGCGGAGGGGGGTGCAGCTACAGCAGGCGGCAGTGAGGAGGGCGCACAGGAGGCCGCGAAGGGCGCGGCCAACTCGACAGCAGCAGGGGCGGGCCCGCAGCCGAGCGCCAGCCCTCCCCCACTCACGCCCGCTGCGGCGGCGGCCGCGCCGGCATCGGAGGCGCCGCCAGTGGGACCCGCAGGCGGCGCTGTGGCGACACACGATCACGTGATGACTGATCACGACGACGACGATGAGTCGCACTCGGCCGGCCACGGTGACTCAGCAGCTGACGAGGACGGCGCCGCCCCTGTCAAGCAGCCGCAGGCCCCTGAGCCCACCACACCCGCCCCCCAGCCTGCGGCGGGGGCTGCAGCGGCGGCCGAAGGGGCGTCTGGGAGCGAGGAAGTGGCAGGCGGCGGGGCGGCGGCGGCAGGGGCGGTGGGGCCGCGTGCCGCGCAGCAGCCGCT